ATGTATGTATGTATATGTATATGTTTATGTATATGTATATCTATATGTATATGTATATGCATATATATATATATAAGTATATATATATATATTCATAATAACTATATACATATAGGAGTCTGCAGTCCTATGGCTTTAGCCCGTCGTGAGGTTTGAAACGATGGCACTCGGAGCTATGCCCTGACGGCATGAGCCCAAGTAAGCTTCCGTTAAGCGCATATCCGACCTGAAACTTCGGACAGCGTCTCCCAAAAGCCGAAATACCAAAGTCGGGTGGTGTGCTTTACATCGCAGAAATACTACAAGGGTTATGGATTTTTGTGCCCAGCAGCACGTGTCATACCATTTGTGGGGCCACGGTGAACCAGGTGCAAAACTATCTATCCATCGATGCGTACGGGGACGGCATTGACCAAACAATGCCCCCTGGTCCTGCGAATTTGGCAGGGGCTACACGGGCGTCCCTACCACCGTAGTCCTGCAAATAGCACTCCACGAGCAAAACCATGGCAGTCGCAACCTCCAGGCATGCATGTGGGTCGTTGTCCAAATTAGGGTCTGTTCCGGGGTTTTTTTGCCTCTCGCCTGGCTAGGACGAACCTACGATGCAGGGTCTGTTCCGGGGTTAGTTAGGGTAGAATTATTGGGTTCCCCAAAAGGGACCATGGTTTTTTAATAGTTAATTACCCAAGAGTGCCCGGACATGTGCAGCAATCTCTTGCCACAAAGCTATGCCTGGGAAACTCCTTGCGCTTGTCATGAGGCTTGTAACAAAGGTCCTGGACAACAGAGGATACAGAGCTCGTGGATGATGCCAAACGACTTGCCAAAATTCCGCGTCTCACCGCGCCGACTATAATGACTACAACGACACATCTCATCTTGACCCTGGCCTATTTCACAGCGGACGGATACATCGACCAGCGGCAGCCCAAACTTGGAAACTGACTTTCGGAAGAAGCACAAACGAAGTACCATTTGTAGAACAAACCCCTGAACACATGCACTCTACAAGTAGCACGCGTTCCGGAAAACTGCTGGCCGTGCCTCCTTGTTTGCGGCTTCCTGGCAAGAAAGGGCTCTTGGGTTTATACAGGCAGTGTTGTAGTGTCATCGTTGGAGTGGGAGCAGGTCACGGATGCCTGCCTCACGCCGACACTTGGGCAAAGTGTCGAGTAATGAAGGAACAGGGACACCTCCTGCTGTGATCGTGTCAGGCGCTCTGTAGAACTACTCAGGACAGACCATGGTAGCAAACAGGGAAACCGGAAGCAAGCATCAAATCACGGTCTTCACCCTGGGATCCCGTCGCTACACATTTCACCAAATATGACAGCAATGGAGTGCGGATGGTGGAGAGTGGAGCGCGTTGCACCCCTCGTCTTCAACACCAGAGGTCACAGAAGGCCTCAACTTGAGACCGGTCACCCAAAATTGGAGGAAACCTAGGGTGTCATCCTTAAGTCTTGTATTGCTGAGCCCCCTGCCACACATATCCGAATCACCTAGTCGCGACAAAAGGTCGGCCTACAAGTTGCAGGTCCTTTCCAAACCTACTTAGGACGCCTCTGCACGTAATACGAGACCAACATGATCTTGCAGCAGGCTTAGGAGCAAAATGCTCACTACACTTTGCAGGAGTATCACCCGAAGTCCAAATTTTCTACAGATCTTCCCGACAAGCCGGCGCCACCTCCTTCGACAAAAGAGCCCACTGTGCTTCAAGAGCCCAAGCAGGCTTGTTCAGGGCTCCCGTCGGGAAGTCCTGAGACAACAGACCGACCCCTGAAATTCGAAGTCCCTGCGGGTCCTTCGCTTCTGGCTGTCTTCTGCAAGCTCTACAAACATACTGAGCTTGCTGCGAACATCCCCGCACTGGCCTAGGTGACAGACAAACTGGTGCACAGATTTTCTTCCCGTGATTCGCAGGGTCCAGCCTTACAGACCTAATCGAAATTGCCAAGATATTCGGACCTTGGCCTGCACGACTCCTTGAGCAAGCTTCCATCTAGAGCCATCTGGAGAACCGGGAGAGTGGCGCCCCCGCTGCGAATCAGAGGTATCACCTGGGCACAACACAATGCAAAACAGTGTCGCATCGTAACATGCACGGAGCAGGGCACGATGCGATCCGTGTAATGGTGGGGCAAAAAAAACATGTTCTACTGGCTGGCAAAAAGCTACGACACATGCTCAGTCTTCAGCTGTGGAGCTGTGAGTCTGTTGCACATGTAGATACACGATGCTTAAGTCTAAGCACTCCTTCTTCTCGTCTTCGTTGCTCATTGGCAGCTGAGGGGTCCTGCCTCTGTGCCTTTCTTGGCCAAGGAAGGTCGACATGGTGTCACGTGCAGAAACGAGCGCGTCCCTATATCACTTACGAAGATAGGAATAGGTCGCAACAGACTGTCAAGGGATTGAGAATGTGCAGGTCAGTCCGACCAGTGTTCCAGCAACCCCACCGTTCCCCATCGTCCTGCATCTGCTTCTCGATCTTCGAATTAGCCCTCTTGAGTCTGAAAACTTGGTCGTGAGGGCCGTGAGGGGTTTCGGACGAGAACGGGGACCTTATAGCCAAGTGACGGCTGCGCCGCGCTCAGCGGCAGCCTTGCATGGTTGGTCTGTCATGCGAGCCAATGCCAAGCCAAACCCTGCACTCCTAGACGGCGAACATGTCGAATCTTGCCCCAACAAAAGCTGTGAACAAAGCGTAAGGTCTTCATTATACCAGCTCAGCTGATGCTGCAGTCTGCTTGTGATTTTGCTGCTGGCTACGCTTTGTTCGTTGTTGATGATAACAACAGCTCAGATCTTGCGATGGGTTGTTCTCCTTCCATGTGAGGCACATCTCGATGTCTCATGTTGGAGTCTTAGAGAACTGACAGGCGGTTCTCCACAGATCCTATATAGCTACTTCTAGGGCCTGGGCCTCTGTGGTGGGCTTTGTCAGCCCCACCTTACCCACTCAGCCGCGAGGTACCGAGCGAACCTAGAAACTGCTCCTTAACCAAGAGATGCACATAAATCATACCACGGATCCCTCTACACGTCAGGCTAGACTTCCTCCAACGTGACCACGAAAGAAGACACCCCCTGTGTCCAGTTGCCTAGGCTAAGGATTTCCAAAAACCGGAGAATACTAGCTCCATTCCAACGCCCTTGAAGAAACGACGGCTACGACCCCCAAAAGCGTCGGCCCTGAAAATGAAATTCACATCTTCGCCTTGGCTTCCCCAGCGACGCCCGGCCCGCCCTGTTTAGGTTTCCGAAGGCTTGGCTAAGGGTGTAAGGAGTGTAAGGGTAGAGATTGAGGGTTTAGGGATTCAGGGCAGCGGTAGAAGGGTGTCGGCTTCAGGGTTGTATTTTGGGGTTTATAAGGGCTTCCGGGCTTGAAGGATGATTGGGGGTTGGCCTCGGTCGTCCTCGGGATATTTCGGGTTCAGTTTCGGGATTTAGGCAAATGTTTAGGATTTTAGCGTCTTTCGGGTGATTTCAGACTGACAGGCGTTGCCGTGCCAAGGGGGATGCAGGCGGAGTGCCAGATGCAGTGGTTGTTAGTGGATGCTGGGTAGGAGTCTGTGGCCTTCCGTGGCTGAGAATCCTTGTCACAATAAGCAAGGAGGCTTCTAGGAAACATGTGCCAGTCTCGTTGACCCTCTCGTTGTGGTCGGAGTGCCTGCTCTCTGCTCTTGATGCCATGCTTTGCATGCTTGCAGCCTCGATCGTGATGTACAGATCACCAAGCAAGCCGTACACGTCCTCCCAGGCAGACAACATGATGTTAGTCCATGGAGACGCTGCCAGAGCAAGCAACAAGTTTTAAATCCCCCGTCCTTTCTTTCCGCCAAAGAAACACCTGCCGTGCTACAGATGCTTTTTATCAAGCTGAAGGAGGAAAAGGCTGCAACTGCAAAAAATAATGTGCTATTGCTCATTGCCACTCCTGCATGGACATCCTGCCCCATGTCGAAGTTGCTCTTCTCACCTGATCATGAGGACACATCTCCACAGCCACAGGCATACCAAAACAGACACGAATCCAAGCCCTCGGCCAAAAGGCGTGAGGTGAAAGAGCGGCATGTGTTCAGGGCAGCTGTCTGCGAATGCTTTCTGCACCTCATGCAACAGTGCAAAGCAAACACCGTGGCGACCATCCGAATCAATTTATCAGGAAACGAAGGCATGCAGGAACGAATGAACACATGGTCGTCGGTCATATACGGGGCAGAATAGAGCAAGGTTGCTTAAGTCCCGGACTCCTGCCATGCCACCCGTCATGAAGACGGCTCGCGAACCCACTCTGGCACTCAAAGCATCGGCCAATTCCTTAACCTTGGGCACGCATGCTACATAGTGATTCTATGTTCTACCAAAGATACTACTGCAGCTTGTTCCGTTGACGGGTCAACTGCTAATAAACTGCACTGCGAAGATAGGCTGTTTCTGACTCATGCGACTGCTTTGGAAATTGCGAAGATGACCGCGTCGACAATAGCGATGCTATTTTCTGCCGCAAACAAAAAACGGCAGGCCATATTGTGGGGGGGGGGGGGGGTCCCGGCCCCTCCCAAAAGAGCAGCCAGACCCCCCAAAGACAGAGTGCTCCTCACGAAAGATGGACGATGGAAGGAGCTGCTCCCGTCGACAACACTATCCAACGATAGTCTTGCATCGGCTGGAATGTAACACCTGCGTAAACCGTACCTCAGAATACCCACGACCGCATAGAACAATTTTCATAACGAAGCGCTTAAACAAGGGAAGGCGAACAATAAAGTTGAAAAAGTTTAGCCACACGAACTAGTCAGCCGACACTAAGTCACTACTGTACTTGCCGTCGTTGCTACTGCTGCTTCAGATCCGACCGATTCTGTGGCAGCTGTCGCCGATGTGTGTTTCTTTCTTCCTTTGTGTCGTTCCCATTCGTTCGGCGACTGATGTTTGCGCGTGCCTGTTTGTTACATGTGGTTGTATCTTCGGGTTTTTTCGTCGTGATCGTGAGTTCATGGCGTCTGTATCCTCACCACCTTGCCCACTCCCATATGCGAAGTGATGTGCCCACTCTGAGATTCCGGCAGTCTCCTGGCAAATGCAAACGATATTCAAATGCAAAAAAGGGACGACAGCAGGTGCTCACTGCCCCAAGCAAGCCTATCTCAGTGCTTCATCGGGTACACTCGAGCCCTTGGCTCCAGGCCTCGGTATCCGGCTTCGAGATGGCCGTGCCGCCAAGGATGCAGACAATGGGCTTCGGCGGTAGCTCTTTCCTGTCCGAAGCCCATACTGAAATGCAACTGAATACAGGGTGAACAATGCAATGGCTTTACTAAAGCCTTTTTGTCGCAGCATCGCGAACATGCAGGCATTGCGCCTACATAGCAGTTGCGGGATTGTACCCTTACAAAACCAAAGCAACGACCCCTACTCACTATTGACTGGGGATGCAACATGGCTCGAACCTTCTGCTGATCCTGCACAGAAGTTAAGCTGAGTTACATACCCAGGCAACTCATTTTCCAGAGGCTGTCTGGGCTGTAGCTTGCCGTGGCTGCCGTGTCGAAAATCTGCCTCACACTAAGGACATAGTGGTATATAAGACAAACATGAATCAAGTATACAGGCTTCCTTGTTTCATTGGGGGCATGCTAATCTCCGAAGGGAGATTGAGAAGTCGTTACGAAGTGGAGGGACAGGGTCTGCCATACTAGACGGAGACTCTCCGACCCCTGAGAAGCCCGGAATCCAAATCCCGAATCGGACCGAAACTCCCTTATAGTCACGGAATGGGGCCGGCATGGTGAGGAAGTGGCGTGTTGATGCAAGAAGCTGAAAGAAGCCCCTAAGCCCTAAAGCCCTTTACCTCCCACTAGCTACCCTCCCGCGCCTTAGTCGACGGACCGAGTCCAGTGCGCTCTCGGTTGGAAAACGCTCTTCTGTTGCCGTCCCTGGCCCAGGTGGTCATAGGCAGAGCACATGAAAGAATAGAAAGGAAACTGGTGCTTGCAATTTTATTAATCTATGCGAACATGCGTGCATGCTTATGTGAACACACTGCTTTTGTGTTACATGCTAAATCTTCTGTTACTATCGTACATACGTGTGTGTGCGTGGACATATATATATATATACGTATGGAAGTATGCATGTTTGTATGTACGTACGCATGTGTGTATATGTATGTCTGTATGTATAATTCAGTTATATACCTGTTATTTGGTATACCTACCTATAAAGAGTTTATATGTACACCTTCGTATATACATGCGAATTTCTGACAAGGGAATGGGAACGAAACGCTGCCAGTAGCAAGCACCATCACAATACCACTTTGTGGCAAAAACAAAGGCGCAGTTCGACGTTTCACAGTGTTTGTGCACAAGCCGGATTTCACACTGGCTTTTGAGGGCATTCATTCTCTGAGCTCTAAACTGGAATGAAACGTATCACACCTCAGAGTCATCGGGACATCCCCCCACATCGGGGGAGCACCATATCCGTACACAGTAAGGAGTGTGAAAGATACTTTCCGAAAAAGCCCTGCGAGCCTCTAAACCCTGGTACAGGGGCCTCATATGGGCATGTTCAAGCATGATTATGTTCGGCCTACAGGAGGTTCTTACTACTAGCTATGCAGACCACTAAACTATGCATTAAATCGTGGATTTCGAGCAGGCCGCTAGGATGCGATGGCATGCGGCTAGGATGTATTCCGTACCGCAGTATGCCTGGTCCTGGTCCTTCGATATACTTCAGCTCAAAAAAAGTCTGACAGCCAATATTGGCAATGCACCACTTTTTGCGGAGCTCGCTTTGGATTGGCACGCAGATGGAGCCCAACTCCGGGGTGAAAGAGAAGCATGCTGAAGCAGCAGGGCAAAAATGACACCTGATTCTGTGTTTGACCTTGGCGTTTACGGGCTAGAGGTAGTACATGACAAGACAAAGACACCTCATGCCTCGAGATTTCCGCTTTGGGACTAGCAGTGAGAGCATCAAACCTTGGGCTGCCCGCGACATTGGAGTCCTGGACCCGTTCATGCTCCTGGAAAGCAGCTACCCATAGGCCCCTAAGTAGTTTCTTTTGGGGATTACCTTAGAGGATTCTAGATATAAACCATAAAAAGGAACTATTCAGGGGCCTATGGGTAGACCCAGGGTCCGATCTATAGACTTGGAAGTATCTGGCTAAGCCAGGGTTTTGGGCCCTTGGGGCTCAGGTCAATCTAAGAGCTTCAGAGTCAAGAGACTATAGGGATCACTGCTGACTTAAGTATCGTGAGGTTTAGAAGATCCCCCGTTTCTGCAGATTTCTACCTCAGTCGAGCGCATCTGAAGCACATGCTCACGGACTGTCTGCTCTCCCACGAGCTGTCACGAACATGGAAACTCTGCTCCAACGCAATCCAGCGCAGCCACGGCCTCTCTCGCACGTGCCAGCCAGGTAAGAAAGGCACCGTGCGGGATGCTCACAAGGAGTAGCGCGTCTCCTGAATATCTGATGGGTTGAACTGCCGCCCAGACTCACTCTGATGTCACGTGACATCGTTGAAGAACTTGTAAAGCAACGGGCATAGCACAAAATGCATGTCTGCGAAACCTTGCTCAGGAACATATTGCTGCACAGTTTCGTGAGGAACTGGTGCTTCTTGCTCTTTTTGCGTGCAGACCTGGCTGGGCACCGGAGAAGCTTGGCTTGGGCTGCTGGACTTATGGAAACTACCGGAACTCAGGATCTGGACTCGGATTTCTCCACGCAACTTCAGGCCTGCTCTATCCGCCACGCCCACAAGCAATTCTAGTCCGAGGCACGCCCTCTTCCTCTTCCTCGCGGCTGTTCTCCGCGGGAGTTTCCAATGCCTAACAGCAACAGCTGAATACAGCTGAGTCCTCCGAGAACGAGCACTGAAAATTAACAGACCTCTGGGATCCTCGGGGCCTGGTATCATGCTGCCTTACGAAGCTGGTGAAACAATCGTAGCAGCAAGAAGGGAAGGATCTCAAGCCTAGAGGGCCTAGAGTCTGGCTTGCGTCTTAGCTTGTCAGAGCAAGTCGACTCGCGCTACTGCCTCTACCTGCTGTACTTTTGACATCGGAAGACCAGTAGGCTGACTACCTGAGACTTACATGTGAGTACAGCTTCAGGAGCTACTACACAGCTCGACATGCGGAAACATCCAAGCATCTTGTGCTAGGAGTATTCTCTGCAGTATAGCAGTCTCAGTTGTTCCGTGCAGCTGAAGCACATTCGTGAGTTCGTTGGGAGTGCTCTCTGCTCTCTGCTGCAAGCCCCGAACCTGTCGGAACTTCTGCCCCTCGCGCCTCGAGGTCGGGCAAGTCGCGGGGAAACTCCATCCTGAGAGGTACTACTACTACTACTACTACTACTACTACTACTACTACTTAGTACCAGCAAAACTAGCAAAAAGAAAGTGCATAATGAATCAGTTAGAGTGTTATCACAAAAAGGAGATTCCCAGCCAAGAGTCCCGGAGGCCTTGGACATGTCGGATGTAGCCACGGAGGCGAAGCCCTGAGATTCGGAGACTCCAGGTCGCTCTGAAAGGGCGCCCCAAGGCTTTAAGGATTTCGACTCACACACTCGCACAAGGCTGGCATGGCGTTCGAAGGTCTGAGCTTGCTACTGTGACATCCTTAAAGGATTTAGGGTTATAGGCATAGGGTTTAGGGTTTAGGCCCTCAAGGCCTCAAGGATTCAGGGTTGTAGGGTGTAGTATGTTGTAGCATTACTGGGAGATTTTAAAGAAGATAAGTGGCCACAAACAGCTAGAGTTGGTAACTTGCAAACCCTGGTTACTTCCAGCTACTCTTCAATCTTCAGTATAATCCAAAAGCGCCTCAAGCTTCACCAAGGAGTATGGCTAATGTAGGGGCGTCTTAATAATTAAACTAGGGGACTTTGGTGTACATCGTAGTAAAAATATGTAACAAGTAGTACTTGAAAGCAATCCTGCTGATTGTGTATTTTAGTTTTTACTACCCTAAACATTCCCAGACCCCGAACCCTAAACCCATCGGCGTGCTTGTCGAGTGGCTGGCATCAGCGGATCCTCCTGTAGCGAGGCGGACTTGCGACGTCGGGGAGGTTCAGGGTCGGCCACTCTTACCAGAATGCCCCCTTAATGATTCTTACTTTTATAGCCCCTTGTAACAACGCAACCCCCGGTGGCTCGCGACACAAGCAACTGGGTGTACTTCCAGGGGTCAAACTCAGCTGGGAATCATCAAGGCTCGTTGTGAAAATGCTGCGCGGCCTCGTGCTCGCGGCCTCCATCGCCGGAGACGATGACGGTGCACTCGTCACCCAGGCCCACGCTCCTTCCGGCACAAGGCAACGTAGGAATGAAGAGCAGTGACGTCCAAAGTTCCTGAAGCCTTCCCCTGCCGTCCTGACCCGCCGGTGCAGCATTGCGAAAACCAAGCGTGGTCGACCTCAGGTTGTGCAAAAGGCTATGACCCAGAGAGCCCAATACCCTTTGATTACGGAATATACCTTAAATTATAGAGGGGCCTTAATATTATATGGTTTAGGGTATATTCCTTATTTAAGGGGTATTGGGCTCTCTGGGTATGAGTGCAAACCAATCAAGAGCCCGGTTCCCTGAGCTTCCTGCGCACGGCATCCCGCAAAGCACTTCTCACAGCAACGCCAGGAGGTCGTGCCTGCAGGTCGGCAGCTTGTCTTTCGGTGTCGGTTGCCGTCCGTCTACCTATAAAGGTAAATGTGCAATTCATACATATATATTTTTCTATGTGTGTATGTATGTATGTATGTATGTATGTATGTATATATATATGTATGTATGTATGTATGTATGTATGTATGTATGTATGTATACATATCGGATAATACATGAAAATGTGTGCGTATACAGATACCTATATACCGATCGCCTTAGGCGAGAAAGGCTTTGTAAATTGTATGGCCTTAGCTTTACACATCATGCAGTATGAGGTCGTTGGGCTTAATTGGGCGGAAATAGCTATCGTATGCTTTAGTAGCCGGCAGACATGAAACGCAATGGTATAACAGGTGTTGTGCCCGGTCTTCTCAAACAAGCAATACAGACGTAACCAAGGACAAACAAAAAAAAGGCCTAAAACACACATGGCGACTTGGACTGGAGAGAAAGGCAATGGACCAGCCTACCTGAAATACTCAACAAGTGTTGAATTTTACATACACCTTGTGGTGCTGCTGTTCAGAAGCTCGCGAGGGAAACTTAATTCACCATGCCCGGACAGACAGAATTGAAGGACGAGCCCTTGGGCTGTGAGAGATGCCCGTCTTTAGATTTCTTTGGCGACAAGAGTCAGCTTCCTGATGTGAAGACTTCGCACGGACTGCGCCAAACCGCAAACGATGCCTATCATCAGTCACACAGTGACGACATCAATATAGGAGATGTGCCACACCCACTTTGATGCGGCTTGTCCCGACATGCGCCTTGTTCTTCTGCGAAGCCCTGCCGCCGCCAACTGCCGGATTTTCGCCGGCCTGGTCCGTGAATGAAGCCAGGCCGAAAATAATACAGTTTCAGGAACAAGTGACCCCAAAATGGCAGAGATCCCCAACATGCTTCAAGATGCTTCAAGCTTGTGGATGCCCTGTCTACTCAGACTCCAAACCGAAGCGCCTGGACCCTGAAACCTTCCAACCTACTCTCCCACACCCACGGTTTCCAAATTCCACTTGCAGTACCGGACATACCCCTCTGCGTGCATAAAAGCCCTTGAGCTAGCGGCCCAAAGGACAAACGGTAGTAGCAATAGCTCTTAATAACAGCAATAGCAGTAGCAGTGGCAGTTCATGACATCTAGTCCAGTTGGCAAGGGATCGAACCTCGGTGCCATCGTGGTTGAAGCCAGCATGGCCCAGCTTCCGATTGCTGGGGTGACCCCAAACGTACAGGCGATGGTCCCGAGTAATCCTGAAGAGATTGGATTCTACATAGTAGAATGTTTTGATATAATGAAAGCCGAAAATGACTGAACATGACAAGTTTAGCTGGGTAGGTACATGCATGCATGCATACATACATACATACATACATACACACCTACATACATACGCAGACACATTGATACACATCAATAAATAGATAAATATAGATAGATAGATACATCGATAGATAGATAGAGAGATAGATAGATGGATGGACAGATAGATAGAGAGAGAGAGAGATAGATAGATGGAATAGACCGATAGGTGGATAGATGGATAGATAGATAGAGAGAGAGAGAGAGAGAGATAGATAGATAGATAGATGGACAGATGGAATAGATGGAATAGACAGACAGATGGGTAGATGGATAGATAGATAGACAGAAATTGGATAGATGGAACGATAGATAGAAAGATGGATGGATAGATTTTTAGCACTCGCACTCGGCAGGGCAGGCGAGGTAATGGGGTCACAGAAAGATGTGACCCTCGTTTGAGTTCTGCTATGGATGGATAGATAGATGGATACATCGATCGATCGATGGAGAGAGAGGGAGATAGAATGATAGATAGATAGAGAGACATAGACAGGTAGATAGATAGACAAATAGTTAGATAAATAGACAGACAGGTAGATAGATAGGTAGGTAAATGCAGACACACATATATACATATACATACAAATATAGACAGATGGATGCATACTACGATAGATAGATACATAGTAGAATGAAATAAATAAAGAAATGAGGAATTTAAAGTCAACGACATAACGACGGATGCACACACAGCTATGTGTATGGACAGATGTATACATGGATAGCTAGATTAATAGATCGGAGGGCTGATTGGGCTTAGTTTGTGGAAGTCTCGGGCATGATGGGCTGTGGCTTTGCACCCCGGAGATTCGGCACATGTTGTGAAGAATATGCGTGGTAATCAAACAGGTTGGCAGCTTCTTGAGCGAAGTGTGAGATGACCCTACTTGGCTGCAAGAACAAGATGGCAAAGAGTGCCGATCCACGTGCTGAGACTCTCAATGAATTGCTCCAAGCTCCTTCCAAGTAGCAGTCACTGAAGTCCAGGTGCTACAGTAAGTCCAGTGAAGGTGACAAAGCCCTGTTTTTGTCTCACAGCCAGGAGGCATGGCGGAGTGCCAGCGGCCAGCAAAGACCCGGGCGCCACCTGAGCATCTAACTCTCTGTTGCTTTCGGCCGGTTTCCGGGCCGAAAATACTGGCACATGCTTGGCTTCAAGTACCACTGCGCACTGACACCTTTTGTTGCTCGATCTCTGTGGACCGTGCAGCTTGCCCTCTCTGCTGGGCACCGAGAGAAAAACTCCAACATGTCATCCAGACACCCGCATCTCCCCACGCTTCCTTGAGCTCGGAGAATGCCACAGGGCCAAGTAAACTTACAAGTTTGCGGGTGATGTGGCACTCTGCTCTCCGTGGAACCAGAAACGCGAGTTGGGAGCAAGGCCAAATCAACTTCCCGTATTACAAGTCTTCCGATAATGTGGCAGTCTGCCATCCGTGGAACCAGAAACAGGGGCCCCACAGAGTTACACCAAACCTACAACGAACCTAACTTGGGTTGTAGAGTTTGGTAGTTTACAAGTCTTGCAAGAATTAAGCCCAGCTGAACGCTATCAGGGAGATCGCCATAACGGCCATTCCGATAAAGAAGGAGTAGGACGTGTAGCGATTGTCCGGGTCATACTTCAGGGCAGTCGGCAGCAGTTTCTTGAAGGTGACGTGGATCATGATCCCGGCCGTAAGACCATAAAAAATGCCATAGGTTCTGGGCCCGAGTATGTCCTTGAGGACCAGCCATCCCAGAAGCCCACCTAGTGGTTCGGAGAGGCCGGAAACGAAGGCCCAAAAAAAAGCCTTGCACTTCGAGCCGGTGGCCTTTTTGATGGGTGCTGCCACAACCAGGCCTTCGGGGATGTTGTGCATGGCAATGGCGAAAGCCATGGCTGGTCCGAAGCTGGGATCGCCCATGGTCGAAACGAAGGTTGCGATGCCTTCGGGAAAGTTGTGCAAGGCGACAGCAATCCCTGAGAATGCAGCCATCTGTAACATGTTCAACCGCTCGGACTTGGCATCGGGCAAAGGCTTTTCGGAATCTGCTTGCGGCACGGGGGCGTCACTTATAACAATTTCGCCAGGTTGCCTCTTGCTGCATAGCCAGTGACTAAACGAATCTAGTAAGCAAGTGAGGAGTATCCCAGAGAAGACCGTCAGTGTCCCGAGTGTGAGGGCACTCCTGTCCGTGAGGTTGGCCTCCTTGAAGCTCTGCTTCGTCATATCCAGAATCTCGGAGAAGGACACATATGCCATCACCCCAGCCGACAAGCTCAGGCAAATCGCAAACACGCGGTTGTCCTCTGTGTTGGCACAGAAAGCAATTGATGCGCCGATCGTCGTAGCCAAGCCGGCGAGCAGGGTGAGAAGCATGGCAAAGCCGGGGTCACCTTCTGAGATGTCCACGCCCTCCATGTCGTGGGAATGCCCTGCGTGGAGTACTCGGCCATCATGATGATGAGCGAAATCTGCCATGGTGGTCCGGAGAGGTGCCGAGAAAGTTGACCTATCAAAGCCTGGAAACCTTGAGCATCCTTGAGCAGTCTGGAAAACTTCTTGAAGTCCGTGCACCGGCTGCTGATACAAGCGAAACCACAAACCGCAAACCCCCGATCCGCGAAATCGCCAAACATCCAACCATTGACCCTCTGCCCAAATCTGCTCAAGCCTGAAACCGAAACAGCAAGAGGCATGTCTTCCACCAGACCCCAGCCATCCCGAGTCAGGCGACGCTCAGGCTGGTAGGAGGTGGTACCATCGTGATGAGGGACTGCCTCAGAGGGCTCTCCGACGTTTTCGTCGCCGACTTGATGGGTTCTGCTGCTTCTCAGCTTTATAAAGGTCCTCTAGGTCTCAAAGATTCTCCAGGACTCTAGGTTTTCGCAAAGTCTGCTTAGCTTAGGTCTTGGGGTTGCAGGATAGCTGTGCCCATCGAGTTAGATTCTTGGAGCCTCGAACTGTGGCTTGCGGGTTTGATTGGCAAGAGGAGATGATGTTCGCAGGCCTCAGTACTTCTTCCCTACCTTCTGAGCAGCTGTTGCTGCAGTCGCCATGACCAGACTGGTTAAGTCATGTTGTGTCTGGGTATGCGTAGTGACGGCGCAGTAGAATTTTCGGCGCATGCTGGCTTGGAAGAGACAGTGCTGGTGCCATCGGTCATTACAAACGGCGTATTTCTTGCCGCTGAAGCTGCTGTTGTGTCGAGTGCGCCGTGCTGCTGACCGTGCTGCCGCAGCATTCGCAACACAGCCACAACAGCAGCAACAGCAAGAGTCAGAGAAGAGCAAGAGCAAGAACAGCAACTGCTATTAGCGCTACTAAGCTACCGCTGCTACCACTACCACTAGCACTGGCTCTTGCGTAGCACTACGACGACGACGACAACTACTACTCCTAGTGCTACTAGTATGACTAATACTGCTAGTACTACTACTGCTACTCCTCCTCCTCTCCTCCTCCTCCTGCTCCTGCTCCTGCTCCTGCTCCTCCTCCTCCTCCTCCTCCTACTACTACAACTACTACTACTACTGCAACTGCTACTGCTACAATTATTGCTACTACTACAACTGTTACAGCTGCAACAACAACAACAACGACTACTACTACCACTGCCACTACCACTACCACTAAGACTACGACTAAGACTACTACTACGACTACTGCTGCTACTACTACTACTACTACCACCATCACTACCACTACCACTACCACTACCACTACCACCACCACCACCACCACAACAACTACTACTGCTACTACGACGACGA